TTTAATATTTATTTTGACTTATGTGACTGTTTTACTAAATTCTTTCACTCGTATACCCTTTCGGGTTTTTACGATTTGTTCCCTTCCCACCCCCCAACCCCCTGTACCGCATTTGCTGAAAGGGAGGGAAAACCTCATCTGAGGGAAAAACCTGCCCTGGTACAGTCGTCCTTTTGACAGGACTACCGCTCGGCAGTGAAACCGTGAGATCAGAGCGCTATATATTTTTTGACCGCCGGTGCCCGGGATCGAACCCGGATCCTTGGCATGCTAGTCCAGCACTCTAATCGCACGGCCACTACCGTCGGTGACTGTTTTACTATTATTTATTAATATTTATTTTGACTTATGTGACTGTTTTACTATTATTTATTGGGGGTTCGCCAGGTGGGGCAGTGGTGACTAGTTCGTTAATTTTCGCTACGTATATTACACATCATTTAATTAGTCTTTTGTTAAGTTTTGTGCCTATGAGAGGTTCTATTGCCTTCGGTTATCGACGGGGTTCCTGCTAAACTTTAATTTATAGTCAGCATATGTGTTTATAGCCAGATTTTTGGTTTTCTGCTAAGTGCTTTAGAATGTAAGGCTATCCTTATGAGTGGCACTTTGTGGAGCCATGATATGCTGACTTCTGAGGGAAGCGCTCTTCCAGGCACTCCCAGTGAAATCTATGATAAGTCCTTGGGAACTTCTCTAGCTGTACCGGTAATCGAGATTACTGACGTCTCGGCTAACACCGTGGCCTCTGTTGACTGCCTACCGCTGCCTGGTATCAACTTTACGTCAGTCGCAAGGGGAAGAGGACGTCCAAGGAAGAACTCAGTACCTAATGCCAAGCAAACCGTGTCTACTCCTGTGAGTAAGCGTAAAAGGACTCGATCCGAGGTCAACGTTGACAGTGCATTATTATTCTCTCCAAGTGCCAAAAAACGTTTGGAATCTCCTAAGATTCTCACTGCCTTTTTCACTAAGCTGGGTTCTCCCAAATCTACAGCAGTTACTATGACCCCTGCTGACGATTTCAGTGATGGAAAGCTCTCTTTGAAACCGTCTCAGCTTGTCCCAACCCTGTCATCTTCATTACCCTCTGTATCCAATCCGCCTGATCCAACAGCAACTCCACCCTCAATCTCTGATATTATGGTTATTTTGAATCGGATTGAGGCCAATAATGCGATTAGATATAACGCGCTCAAATCTGATATTGCTCAAAATAATGCTGTGCTGAAAGAAAAAATTAAGGCTATTATGGTAAATTGGATAAGCTGGAGAGTAATGTTAAACTCAGGGATTTAATGACTGAGAGTAGGATTTCTTCTCTGGAGGCAGAGGTGAAGAGTTGCAGAGCTGACATGCAAATGCTCAGTGTCCCTGCTGAAATGGCGGCTAGGCTTGCTGCTCTTGAGGAGGGTCTTACTGATCTAAAGACCTCTATATCTGCTCCTCCTCCTCTCCAGCTGAATGACCCTGTACCTAAAGTAATCAATGATTTAAAGTGGAATGTTGAGCTACAGGAACGAGCATTAAAAAAGAAGAATATTTTCATTCGTGGCTGGAACCCTCAATCTATTCAGGTGCAGAAGGAAGTGGACTCTTTTCTTTGCTCCTCATTCAGTATTGGTGAACAGCCGTCTGAAGAAATTATTGTGTTAGGCAAGGACAAGAAGGCCATCCTGGTCAAGTTGAAAAACTTCAGTGATAAATTGGAAATTTTCAAGAAGAAGAAGATGGTTCTGGGCAACAAGAGCATTTACATCGAGAGTGATCAGACTCAACGGGAGAGAGTAGCTCAAGGTAAGCTGAGAGCTCTAGCCAGATTGGAGAGGCAAAAGGGCCTTTCATTCAGGGTCTCTCGTAATAGAATTGAAATTCAGGGCCTGGAGTGGTCTTTGGACGAGAAGTCTGGTAAGTTGCAACCAGCTAATGGCCTTGCTAAAATCAGTGCTGATAGGGGCTTGATTCCCCATTTTCCCGAGCGTCTAACTCGGGAAGAAAGTCCTCCTCCAAGGAGCGATCTTCTCCCGGGAATGGAGTCCTGAAAGAATGCTTCTGGAATGTGAAAAATATCAAAAATAATCTCTCTGATCTACCGTCTCCTGCTGACTGTGATATTATTGGCCTCACTGAAACCTTCTTACAATACGAATGGAAACGTCTCCCCTGTGGTTTCTCTGACTTTTTTCCTGTGTGGTCGCCTGCAGTGAAAATACACGCTCGGGGCAGAGCCAGTGGTGGTATCCTGATGCTGGTAAAGAAGAAGCATGGAGAGCCCTTCCTTTTGCATCGTGGTGAAAACTGGATTTTTATCAAAGTGATCGTCTGTAGTAGTTTAATGATTTTTGGTACTTTTTATTTTATACCTAAAGTGAATATTTCTCCAGCTCTGGAGCTTCTAGACAGTTTATTAGCTTCCTTTTCTGAATCGTACCCTGGTGTACCGATAATACTGGGAGGTGACTTTAATGCTCAAACAGGTGCTGAAGGCATTATTATTATTTGTGATCAATTTTTAGATGGTGTCAACCTTTTTAAATTTAGAAAAGTGCTAGATTTAGATGTATGCAATAGAGGTAGCCTCTTATTAGAGTTTATGGAGGATAAAAATTTTTTCTGTTTGAATGGTCGTTCGCAGAGTGATGTTCCGGGTAAAATAACCTTCTTTGCCTCTACAGGGCAAAGTACGGTGGATTATGTCTGGGTTAATGACTGCTGTCTTACTCTGGTTGAGGATTTCATGGTAGATATTATCTCTACGCGCTCAGACCATTTTCCTGTATCAGCTCTACTTGCGACTTCTTCGATAGGATCCTCTGTGCTAGCTTCCGAGGCTCCAGTGGTATACCGGGTTGCCTGGGATTATGGGAGGAGAGTGCAGTTCACTGAGTCCTTGATGTTGTCCGATAACATTAAATTTGATTTCGGCGTTCTGTCCATTGATCAGCAGTCTGACAACTTCAAGCTAGCTATTATTGATACTGCCACAAAAGTGCATATGATTAAGAAATCAGGTGGGCCTCCGGCCTCTTCTTCTCATCCTCCCAATAAACCCTGGTATGATGCTGACTGCATTGAGTTGAAACGAGAGTTAGACAGCAGTTTACATAATTTTAAACAAGTTGGCTTTTTGAGGGAGTTCGGGGCTAACTATCTGAATTTGAAGAAAAAGTACGCCAATTTGATTAAGCTTAAAAAGAAACTGTACGCCGAGGAACTCCTGAATTGTCTTGCCAATGTGCAATCTTCTAAAGACTTCTGGCTAACTATAAAAAAATTCAGACCATTCACTACCTCAGCTTCTCAAATTTCGTTGGATGATTGGTACAGTTTTTACCTGCAGATTACTCCTTCTAAAGTACCTTCCAATATCTCTTTTCCATCTTTCACCGATCCTCTTTTAGACTCTCAAGTCAGCCACAATGAACTTTTATGTAACATTTTGAAACTCAAAAATGGAAAAGCTGCTGGTCCTGATGAAATTTCGAATGAGTTTTTCAAGCATCTTCCACCCAACTGGATATTATATCTTGAGACCCATTTTAATAAGATACTTGAAGCTGAAAGGGTTCCGAACTCTTGGGGTTCAGCGGCCTTGACCATGATATTTAAAAAAGGTGACAAACTTGATCCTCTCAATTACAGAGGGATTGCCTTATGCAACTGCCTTACGAAACTCTTTACGCAGATCCTCAGGGATAGAATTCAACAGTGGGCAGATAGAGAAAAAATTCTAGACGAAAGCCAAGCTGGCTTCAGGCCGGGAAGGGGTTGTTTGGACCAGGTTTTTGTATTATTTGATGCTATTCGACTGCAGCTTAGACTCGGCTCCAGGAAGGTATTCAGTGTGTTTGTCGACTTTAGACGCGCATTTGACTCGGTCCCACATGATAAACTTTGGTCCAAGCTGCTCAATCTCCATCTGTCTCCAAAGATAGTCAAGATCCTGAAGTCTCTATATGACGGGGCAAACATTAGAGTTAAAGCTGGGGGTTTATTATCAGGGGAGGTGCCAGTCACTGCTGGTGTCCTCCAGGGTGAATCTTTGAGTCCATTGCTCTTTATATTGTTTATCACTGACCTTGAAAAATATCTGAGGAATTGTGGCTTTCATGGAGTGAATATTAATGGGAGAGATGACGTTCTACTCTTGCTCTATGCAGATGATTTGGTCATCTTGACTGATAGTGAGTGCAAATTACAGAGGATCCTTGATGCGCTGCATAGGTACTGCCTTGGTAATGGTTTAACTGGTAATTCAGATAAAACTAAAGTTATGGTGTTTAGAGAGAGTGGAAGTCTGAGCCCCTCCCCAAAATTCTTGTATAATAACAGGCTCCTAGAAATTGTACCGTTGTAGCCTTCGCTACATTACCTACCCGCGGTAGTGTTTCTATATTACCTGCGGGGCCTAGGTCGTACTCCCGTACGGTGGCACTGCGAATACCAGAGTGGGGAGCACTTGGGACTACGTCACACGACGCTTCTCCCACTCTGCACTGGCAGCTATATAAACGCCTACGCGAGTTCTCTCGACCAGTTCGTGCTCGGTCTTGCCTTGAGCGCAGAACTACCTGGCTGGCTATCTAGTTCCTTTAGCCTTACCTCCTAGCAATCCTAAGCACTCTGTACTACCTGGACTTCCTCTCCTTTCTCAGGATTGAGAAGTGGCCATCCCACGGTACAAGACCGTGCACTCACCGCTATCGGTCCCCTTCCTCCTATTCCCAGACGAAGGGACGGTTGCTCTCTGTTTGTTTCTCCCCTTTATAGGGTTGAGAAGTTAGATCTCTAAATCGCTCTCTGCGCTTTGGACGCAAGTCAAAGACGTGTCTCTCTGCGACATAATTTGTAGTGTTGGCTCTCTCGACTAACTCTAAACAGTCAGTACGCCACACCGTCATATATGTACGTTGGTATACTAATTAGTAGCTCCTCCCTGGGTGCTCTTGCTGCTCAGGATTTAGTGCGTAAGGCTAAGCAGGCAAATAACTCTGTGATTGGAATTCTCGCTAGGTCCAAGTGTGACTCGTGGCATTGTATGATTAAATTATTCGAGACTATTGCCAAGCCCACTCTCCTGTACGCATGTCCGGTTTGGTCTCTTGATTACCACGATTTGATCGAGTCCGTACAGACATCTTTCTTTAAGAGATTGCTTTATTTACCGAATTGCACTCCCAACTGTGTTTTGCGACTTGAGCTTGGCTTGGTGAGAGTTGAGTATGCTGTGATGAAGCTGACCATTAATTATATAATAAAAATTTTGAAAGTGTCGGAAGAAAGATTACCAAGGATTTGTTTTATGCAATTAGTGAAACTGGCCTCTGAACCTAATCCATTTAAAGACCCTGTTAAATTCCGCAAATTTAATTCGTTAGTTAGAATTAAGGAGTTTTTAGCCTTGGTCAACTGTAACGAACTGTGGGGTTGCCTGGATGCTCATGAATGGGTGTTGAAGAGTGACTTAATGCTTAGTAGGTTTAAGAGTTTCTTAACTGATAGAGATTCGGTGGAATGGTCCAGAATCACTCACAAGATTCCACTTGTGAGAGATCCTTTTTCTTTTAAGAATTCGTATCTAACTAGAAGATGCTCGATTGCCATGCTGAGAGTCAAGGCGCAGCTGAGATTGGCAAGCCCGTATAATTGCAAGTTTTTTATATCTGGCAAGTCTTATAAACTGTTTCCTTTTCAGAAGTGTATTTGTTGTACTTTGGATGCGCATGAATCGATCCAGCATGTTCTACAGTTTTGCCCATTTTATGATGCTCTTCGCTCTAAGCACATCCGACGATTTCTTAAGACTGATTCCAGCAAGGACCTCTTGGCTTTTATTGACTCACCTGATAAAGCCTCCACCAGATCTCTTTACTTTTTTCATGCCAGCGCTCTTTCTTTGAGAGAGTCGGTATATGAGGAAAGTAATACTTCCCTTCATGAGCCAGATCAGCTGATCACGCAATTCCTGCATCTGTTTGATTATGATTCTGATACCGTCCAAAGTGTTTACACTATTGTTTAATTAATAATTTAGTTGATGGTCACCAAATAATTAGCTGACTTAATTTAATACTTTTACCTCTTTTGCGGTTTAGAACTACTCTTAGAGAGTTAATTTGAGTTATCTTTGTGTTTAGCACCTCTGCGCTCACCTAATTATAGACCCGATTGATGCCTCATATGTATTATACTTTATTTGTGTATGGTTGAACCTCACTGTCATAGGGAGTCCACCCCTGTGTGGCAGTTAATAAATTAAATCAAAAATTAAATTACTATCATTTATTTTGTGACCTTAGCCGGGAAATTAAAATATAATAACTCCCGGCGAAGTCACTAATGAATATAATAAAGGAATAAGCGAATGATTTTTGAGGGGAAGTTACTTGTTATTTACGGGGGGACCTGAAATGAGAAAAGAGGGGGGGGGGGGGCATAATTACTCGGGCGGGATAGTAGTAATAAATGTTATCTATTTCAATAAATGGAACGTCTGAATAGGGTAATTCTCATAACATAAAATCCACAATTGTGACCTTCTCTTAATAACTAGTCAAGGGTGGGGGGTAAGGCCAGCCAGCTTGCGACACACAAATAATTAATAGTAGAAAAAGAAGGGGTGATTTTACCTCTGCAAAAAAGGGGGAGAAGTGAGGGGTCCTAGTAGAAAAGTATCGCGAATTAGGGGGCTTGAGTTATAACAAAAATTAAATTCCGGGACATAAGAAATCGCAAATATTGAATAATTATAATACTGGAATTTAGAGGCTCACCGTTAGGGGGGGAAATCTCCTTACAGGGGGTTCGTGAGGGTTTGTTGGAGCGGGAAAGGCAAGAGAGGGTACTCACGGTGATGGCGTCTATCCTCGTTCTTTTTTCCACAATTTCGCAAAACCCACGGGAGACTCCTTCGACCAAATATCCCTTGTCCTCCTCGTCCTCACTCCTCGGTCTTTGGCTCGGCTTCTCCTCCAAAACTCTTCCTACACCAAGCACCTTCACTCAAACAATATCCTTCACAATATCTCCTCACAATATCCTCAAAAATATCCTCAAACTTATCCTCAAAACTATCCTCCAAAATATCCTCAAACTTATCCTCAACACTATGCTCCAAACTATCCTCAAACTTATACTCAACACTATCCTCAAAAATATCCTCACAAAATATTCTCAAACTCTCTGTTACGCACGGGGCAGCTGTACAACGAGTGATGGCTTCCCCATCCTCGCTAGTCTTCTTCCCCGATTATCGGTGATAATCGGGGTCAATCGGGGACACTCGTTATCGCGTGTCCTCGTCCTAATTATTAGTTGTGCCCGATTAGCATATATTCCTTTTCACTCTTCCGGGTCACGTGGGCTGTGACGTATGAGTGGTGGTTTTCTCTCGTCTCCCGTCACGTGGGCTGTGACGTATGGATGGTGGGTTTCTTTCCTTCGCGACGATGTTCGGAGACGTTTCTCCGCGTGAGTATAGGGCTGGGGTACCGCGGGGCAAGGGGAAGGAATCTCTCGGGAGTGGGGTGGCCAACGGTGGCAGGTTTGTCTATTTATTTTTAACCTAATTCTTAACCTACTTACATCTAAAAACAAGTCATTATTAGGGCGCAGGGGAGGGGCTAAAAAAGTGCCTCGTCACAGCTGCCCCGGGGGTAGAGAATGCATGGGGTTTCCACAACCCCATGCTGAACGATACGATCCCTCTTTGCCTGCTGCTGACTCCGGGAGTGAAAAGCTGGAAGGAAGGCTGTCATTCGTTAGTTCTTTACTTTTAATTTCCTACGTCACACTAATCCCAGGCACCCTGAACTCACTCTTTCCTTTTCCAACAAGTTGTTCATACAGGCATTCACTACGGGGAGGGATATATCAAAGATATCACGATTGTCCAGAGCTGGTTTTTGTTGTATTTTATTAGATGAAGATATAAAGATGGACCAAGAAAAAGCGGGTGCATCCAACCAATGTAATGTGTTTATTCCAACGAGAAATAAAGAAAAAACAGGGGGGTGCACGTCCGCAACAGGGGGGGG